CCTTTCTCTGAAAATCTGATTGTTTTATTTTTCCAGTCACATTCCATAGGACTGTGAGCCTGTAGCCAATCAAATCCTAGGATTGCATCATATGGGTCCATGTCTAATACCACCATATCAACTGCAAATGTTTGGCCTTGATAGTAACACTGCAGTTGAGGTACTATCCAATCAGTAACAATCCAGTCGCCATTTGCTACCTTGACTTTCTTTGGTGTTATAGGCATAGTGTGGAGGTTTGCTAGCTGTACAAACTGAGAATTGATGAAACTGTGGGTACTGCCACTGTCCACTAGGATCAACATCACTTTATCTTTAACTCTTGTTTTGAGTTTGATACAGTTAGTATGATCTTGACTAGAAAGTGCATTGAGTGACAATTGACCAAATTCTTCCTGTAACTGATCCTCTATTGCCAAGTCATTGAGAACTTCATCAGAAAGTTCCCTATCCAAGTCATTGAGAGAAAGAGCATGTGCCTGAGGTTTGTTTCTTTTGGGACATACCTCCAAATGTCCAGGAACAAATTTCTCACCACAGTTAAAGCATAAACCATTTGCTTTTCTGTAGTCCCTAAGTTGTCTGTCTTTCCATAGGGTACTAGATTGAGCTTGGGGCTTGGTGTCAATCTTGACTGGTGTGTATGGTCTTAATTGTTGTGGAACTCTATTGTATTTGCCTTTGTTTCTCTCCACCAGTTTCTACAGAACCTTAGCTAGTATAGATGCTTTTCTGCATTGTAGTGGGCATCTGGGGCTCTACCATGCTTCGAATTTCATCCTTCAATCCCCTCACATATTGTGGTGTAAAGAACATCTCATCATAGTGTGGATTGTGCATGGTAATGTCAAATTGGAGATTGTGGAATTGAGTAGTATATTCCTCAACAGTTCCTATCTGTTTCAGTTCGAGCAAGTCATTCATGGCACTTTTGAAATCATCTGAGCCAAACTCCTCTTCTACCACTGAGCAAAAGTGATCCCAACTGCTGAAACGGTGAGTCTGTTTGTATGCCTGGTACCATTTAGCTGCATTACCCTCAAAATGGAGATGAGCTGCAGTTATCCACATACCTTCAGGTAGTCGATATAGTTCAAAATAACTCTCACAATTATCCCTCCAGACCTTTGGGTTGGCACCATCAAACTTGGGAAATTGCATTTTTGGCATGGATTGGGTAGGTAGAGAAGTTGTCCTATCAAATTTGGATGTAGGCTTTCTTTTCCTAGAAGGTTCAGGCTTGTGGGTTCCCTTGTACTGGGCAAACACATTGTTAAAGGGCTCAGCCTCTTCATCAACAGTAGATCCTGGGCTATCATCCTCAAATTTGGGTTCCCTCTCAAACTGCTGCATGGTGAGTTGAGCTACTGCTGCCCCATTTGCCTTAACCTGCTGGGCTATCATGTGTTGCTCAGCTGAATATTGGTCCATGGCAGCACCCCAAATATCCATCTGGGATTTCATTTGTTGCTGGACTACTCCAATTTCATTGACTTGAGAGAAGAGTAAGTCGAAGTTCTCCATCACCTGATCCCAGCGAGTTTTCTCCTCCTCTATACTCTTGGACATGTTGTCCAGTAGAATCTGTGTTTGCTTCGAAGGTTTTGGTGGAGCCGTGATGACAAGTGGACGAAGAACAGAGAATATGGTAGTACAAGCAACAAGTTTGGACGATGCCTCCCCTTTTGTGTGCTTAGTACTGCCACCGCCGCCTGGGAGTGAGGCAGAGCCGAGGGATTTTACACAAGAACAAGAGTCTTGCAACCCAAGCTCATGGACACTCCCCCTCCAACACCACCGCACTGACTTGATAGCCTTGACTACGGAATTTTACGCAGGGACAGGCGCCCGGCAACCCTTGTCAAGCGATCAATCGTGCTAGAATGGTATGAACTCACAGTGGTTGTCACCTCCAAACTGATGAGTGTTGGTGGAGTCCCTAGAGGAACAATGGAACCGTAGTTGGGGAAGAAGGGTGGGTGATTGGGGTCTGGTGGTGGGTTTATGTGGTGGATGCGGGCAGGAGTGGCGACATGATCAAGGAGTCAAGATTGGTACCACCTATGCCGTCACTGACCTAGCTCAACCTAAGGAGGGACCTCTGATCTCAGGTCGAACACCTCAAGGGCGTTAACCGAAATCACCTGCCCACCGGAATTACGAAATGTAGATCAAAGCGAGCGGAGTAGGGCGTACCATGACGGTGGTGGTGTCGACCGCTGGATCCGCCGCCGGTCGTTGGTGAAGGGGAAGATAACTAGCGCCGGTGGAGAGCTGAAGCACTCCCTACCCACGCCGAGGATACGATAGCTCTGGTACCAACTGTCACACCCCTGGCTGCCGGCGAGTCGCCTTCGACGTGAGCGATCAAGACGGATACACAGATACGAAGAAGCGGGCAGGGTTAACCCCTCTGCCTTAGCTTTTTGATACTAGAGTTCACGACGTCCCTCCCCCGGTACAGGGTTCAGCACTTATGTGCTTGATACAGTCTATGACCACTTGGTCCCACACGACAGTTCATGAAAGAAAACGTAATACATAAATACGCTAAGCCACACGGAATACGTCTTCTCCTAAAGGCTTCTTCCTTCAACGTTCTTCACTGGTCGTGGCCACACCAGCCGGTGTGACACCAATATAATGGACGGCCGACAGCCGCGTCGCCGCTAGCCCGCCAGCCGCTCGGCCACCTCACCTGCAAGCAATAGTGACGTTGCCTCCTGCTGTCTGCAATTGAGTTCGTGGCTTCGCCCTTGAGCATCGGAGTGGCGCCCTCGGCCCTCGCCCTCATCGACCACTCGACACTCGCTGCCTCACTCAACCGTCGACCCTCGCCCGTCGATTTGAACCCAACACCCGGCAAGACGGCAACATCCACGGCACCAGCCAAGTCCCGTCGTGCTCGATCAGCTTATTTGCCTATTTGCCTTGCTGCTGCCTTACTTTAACTGCAATTCTATAAGCTTGTTCATTTATTGATTCTCTAGTTGCGTTGCTTGGTTGTTGCTTCTGTGTATGTGCAGTTGTTGCTACTTGTTTCGTTTGGTTGTTCCTGAGATGCTGATTGAATTGTTGGCTCACGAGCTAAACGAGCCAGCTCGAGCTGGCTCGCAGGCTGAGCTGAGCCTCAAATTTAGCTCATTACGTTAACGAGCCGAGCCGAGCTGGCTCGTTATTAGCCAGACCAAGCCGAGCCGAGCCGAGCTGGCACGACATCCAGCCCTAATATTGGTCGAGTACTCAGATTGAATAGGTACAATGCCATGGGTTGCAGTGAGCCTGTGACCGTCTAGGTGGTCGTTGTTCACCGTGTGAGCACAGTTGAAGATCACCAGTGGATCAGTGATCGTAAAACTGGGTTGTCATCGATGAGCACCACGCCATGGCACCACCTTTGACCACAAACATTGAATTGTTATCGACAGGAGTGTTATGACCGCCCATGCAATGGTTGGGTTATGTGTCAACAAAACCTACTAAGGCCTTGTTTAGTTAGCCAAATTTTGGAAATTGGGCTACTGTAGCACTTTCGTTTTTATTTGGTAATTAGTGTTCAATCATGGATTAATTAGGCTCAAAACGTTCGTCTCGCAATTTTCAACAAAACTGTGCAATTAGTTTTTTTTTCATCTACATTTAATGCTCCATGCACGTATCGCAGATTCGATGTAATGGCTACTGTAGCACTTTTTGGGAAAAGTTTTTGGAACTAAACAAGGCCTAACTTTTCGTAGACCTGAAGATAATTTTATTTTAATAAAATAGATTATTATACTAAAAATATACTATAACGTGTCTAGCCGCGCTAGGCGCTATCTGCGCGGGTCACCTTGCTGGTTTGTCTATAATGCAACGCGACTTACTTTCAATATCTAGAAAACAGAGAACTTGATGAAACTTTCTTAAAGTTGTACGGGCATCAACTTTGCCCGTAAATGAAGACGGTTTTTGCATGTATATAGATTATGTTTGGGCTCTTTATTCCATCCGGTGACACTGACTAACCAATCCCCTACGTCGTCATTCAATATTTTGCCACTAAACCACGAGGTGCAACTCGCTCTCACTGACAACGGGTAGTGGGCCGATCGAGGTGCAGCCGCCAGCTTAATTATATAGCACCCGCACCGCAACTTAGTGACAAATAAATTAAGTACTCGCTCCGTATCTAAATATTTGTTGCCGTTGACTTTTGATCACAAGTTTGACCTTTCGTCTTATTCAAACTTTTTTTGTAAGTTTCAAAAATCTTATGTATGTCTCACTTCACCATTATAAGGTATTTTAAGCATGTCTTATGTTTTTGTATGTTTGCACAAACTTTTTGAATAAGACGAACGGTCAAACCATGATAAAAAAGTCAACGGCGACAAATATTTAGATATGGAGGTAGTACACAAGAAAAAAAACTAAGGTTTCTCAATCTTGGTAGTGCGTATACAGATAGAAAGCAGTTTATTTGCAAATTGTAGTAACGAACGCTAACTCATGCGCCAACAGATGAGATACTCCAGTACTGTATTCCTCCATACTAAAAAAAAAAAAGTCATTTTGGAAAAGGCTTGGTTCAAATATTGTGGATATAAATCATGAATAACTTTTAAGTTGTTGAGTTTGGAAATGTGAAAATCATATGTATAGATTTGTCTTGAAAAATACTTTCACAAAATTTACATATATCATTTTGATAAATATCTTTATAAAAATAAATAGTTAAAGTTATGCTTTGAAGAACGTGTCGCTGTCCAAAATGACTTCATTTTTTTAGTATGGAGTGAGTTTATATTATACTGCCACAACACACAAGCTGGGGACGCACAATTAACGAACTGCACAAGATTAATATGGAGACAAACTAACATTTTACAGCAGACGGCACATGCTGATAACTCAATGATCTATGTGAATGGCAATAAATATAGATAAATACAGGGAATAACTAATTACTGTATTAATTAGTTACCAGGGAAATACTACATGCATGCATCTCTCTCATATCAATGGGCGCCCTTGAGTCTCATGAGCGCCGTTATGATACCGATAAATCCACCAAAGGTGGAGCCAACCGCGACGATGTACTTCCAGTTGTTGTAAAGAAACGCGTACACCTTGATCCACGGCCTCTTGTTCCTGTAATTCTGAATCTCTACCATGACGAGGTCATAGCAGCGTCCTTTGCGCAGGCTCTGCAGGCTGGTGAAGAAGTCGAGTGTCTTCTTGTTGTTGAGCCCTGCTCCTCCTTGCAGGATACCCTTGGTTCGCAGCTCATGCACGTCCTCCTCCCGATGCATCAACATGCACAGGAGGAGGAGGTACAGAGCAGACAGCAGAGTCTTCAAATTCCGCCTTGCCATCAGAAAATTTGGAGTCGTGCATAGCTCGAGAGCCGCCATGTTGACGAGCCAGCTTGCACGTGCATCGTTGAGAGACAGCGGCGCCATGGAGAGCTCGGCGAAGATGATCCACTTCCTGGCGATGCCCATGTATGGGAGCTCCGTTGTTTCGTTGGCTGTGAGGAAGATGCCCATTTCGGCAAGCTCGATGGCACCGGCTGAAATTGTTATTGATTCCATTTTCTCAAAATCTGAACGTGTCACCTTGGTTTCCCTGCTTCTTTTTCCTACAGCGTAGAATCGGAGGAGGCCAAGGAGATGCGGTGCTTTATCGTAGTAGTCTTGGTCCCAGTCACCAGGCAATTCACGGTCAACCCGGTCTTGCAGAAAGCCATCTCCTCGCCACATAGCAATGAACCTCTTCATTCTCTCCAAGGGCTCGGATGTGCACATGTTCATGACGGCGGACATCACCTGCAAGGGGATCTGGTTCTCAAGCAGCATGATGTCATGAGCGATGTCATTGTCGTTGGACTCGAAGAAATCGGACAGGTCCTGGTCCAACCCCGTGCCCGACTTCCTAAGAGTGTATATCACCAAGAAGCAGGCGTCATAGAACATCATAGGTAGGAAGTCGTCCTCATAGCCGATACCTGCCATCACGTCCTTGTCGTAGAGGCCGCGGGCATCGATTTTCGCGGCGACGGAGACCACCTCGACATACAAGTCCCGGACCGAGAGGCCGGGATTGTCGTTGTTGACCCTGTTGTACAACTGGATGCAGTACTGCGCAGCCACATGCTTCATCTTCTCCGCCTTCTGGAGGTGGTCTCGGCGGTGGTAGTAAGGGCCGATGGCCACGACCTTGGGCACAGTACACCAATCGCCGAGAGCTTGAATGCTTGGAGGGTACCTATGCATCTTCGTTTTCATCAATTTGGCATCATCCTTGAACTCCTTCTGTCTTTCCTGGAACAACTTCTTAGGGCTATTCATATAGGTCTCCATAGGATCTGGATCATGGTGCTGTGCGGCCGCAGCATAGTAGTTGTACTCAACCAGTTGCTGCTGCCCTCCGCTAGAGTAGCTGCTAGCAGGGACGACATACGGTTGGAGGCTGCAGGAGGAACCAAATATGTCAGCGATGGACGCATACTGCAAAGGGTGGCCAACGGCAGGAGCCCACACTTCTTGAGCATCATCAGCTGGTGCTTCTTCAGCGGTCCAGTTCATCGCCAGCTGAAGCTCGTAAGGTCCCGCCCATGCAGGAGTGGATGTGGATTCCATATATGCGCTGCTAGCTCCGACCACCAAGCTGAAGGCACGCAGCACTATGTAGCTTGCTGCAAGAAGCACTGCACAAAATTAAGGGAATGTAGGAAATGGTGAAGAGTGAAACATGCAAGAGAACGAAACTGCATGCTAGCTAGCATATAATCAGAATTGAACGTAATGTACTAATGAGAGAAGCATATATTCAGGGTTAGTAATAAGAGATCCAAATGAGGAAGAGAAAAGAATACTTACAGCGAGCAGGGCAGAAGAAGCACACAGCCTTCCCGACGCTCCTCTTATAGAGCGTCAGTTCCTATCGTGCAGGCACGGTCATTTAAATAACATTGACCAATTGCGCTTTACGACAACGGTCACCATCGGAGCATGGCAACTAACGAGGCTCGCTCACTTCGATCTGACAGTCGGCATGCAAGGTTGATGAACAACCTAAGCACCAGAAACATAACGCCAAAGCTCTTCACGTGCAGCACGCAGGAAGGAATTAAAAATGAGATGACGGTGCGGCAACTGGCGGGAGCTAGTGGTGGTCCATGACCACACAATTGGCCTGGGTAGAGAGCATCAATGATGCTTACTTGTCTTACTTCTGCAGCTATATAACTTCGTTAATTGGGATGGCTGCAGTCGTTGCAGATATAGGCCCGATCGACACGGCAGACCACATAGTGTGGAAGAGTTAGTTCTAGACGGAGCATGCATGGAAATCAAACTTCTTGCCTTGTGCTCACCTGTGGTTGTAATTACAGATCCTTTTACTTATGCATGTGTCTATCTCGGTGCTACTGGGATCACACCTGATGTCTCTGCCTCTGAAAAACCTCCACTAATTAGGGGAGACACCAAATTAAGCAGCAAAGTTTGGATGGAGCTCGGTGTGTTCGTTAACCACAGAGGGTTTCTTGATCTAAGCATGGTTTTCACTCACTACCGGAAACGTCAAATTTGCGAGTGTTTTTATGTTTGCCGAGTGTATTCCCTCGGGCACTCGGCGAACAAGTTCTTTGTCGAGTGCTGCGCTAAAAACACTCAGCAAAAAAAAACACTCGGCAAAGAGAGGTTTTGCCAAATGTCAAAAAAAAACGCTCAGCAAAGAGGACGGTTTGTCGAGTGTTTTCGTTTTTGCACTCGGCAAAAAAATAAAATAATTTTTCTGGGAAAGAATGAGAAAAAAAAACTTTGCCGAGTGCCCAGATCTAAGACACTCGGCAAAGAAAAAAAATCTAGGAAAGGAGAAAAAAATAAAAATAAAAAAACTTTGCCGAGTGCCTAGATGTAGGACACTCGGCAAAGGACAATATCCTACTTAATAAACCAGCCCCAGCGCCCCTCCCAAGCACCCCGCCCTTCTCTTCCCCAGCGCCCCTCCCTCTCCCGGATCTCGCGAGTCACGAGGAACCACCGCCGCGGGTGTGCTCTGCCTCCTCCCCGGAGCGTCGCCTCGGGTGAGCACGGCCGCCTCGACGGAGCCCCGGTGGCGAGCAGCACCAGCACCGGCAGATTCGGCCTCTTCCAGTCGCGCCACCTCCGTCCTCACCGACTCCGGCGGCGGTCGAGCGGCACCGGCCCCGGCGGATTCGGCCTCCTCTAGTCACGCCACCTCCATCCTCACTGACACTGGCGGCCATCCAGCGGCACCGCCCCAACGGCGCGGCCGCTCCCTACACAGCCGACGCGGCCCCTCCCTCCCTAAGCGGCCGGCGTGGCTCCTCCGATGGCGAGGTCCCGATGGCCCCATTCGCCTCGATCCGTTTCCACTTCCACGACTCAATCCAGGGCTGCGATGCGTCCGTGCTCCTGGACAGGTCTGCCATCGGGACGAGCGAGCTGCAGGTGCCGCCCAACCATGCTGCGACCACGCGAGCGCCGGCCATGTCGTGTTGTGTGCTCTGCTTTGCCCTAGCGCCCCTCCCTCTCCCAGATTCGGCGTGGCTGGATCTGGCGGCGGGCAGTGTGGTGTGGTGGTGGCGGCGGCGGCTTTGGTGATGGTGGTGGCCGGCGGCGGGCGTGGTGGTGGTGGCGACTTGTTTTTTTTTTATTTTTTCACGAAAAATGTTTGCCGAGTGTTTTTTTTGGACTCGGCATAGTCTTTGCCGAGTGCCCAACGGTTGACACTCGGCAAAAAGCTCTTTGCCGTTAAAACCTACGCCGAGTGTCGTTTGCCGAGGGTTTTTTAAGGCTTTGCCGAGTGCCCGTAGTGACTACAGTACGTGGTTAACCTACTCTGGAGCACATAATGATGAGGCTACAGGCATATATCTACTTTCACACACACACACACACATATATATATATATATATATATTGTGGTAAAGAACCATTATTACTAGTCTAGTCACCTTCATCACATTGAGAGCATAATAATTAGCATGACGCCATGTTGCATGTTCAGATCAAGTCCTCTTTTTGGCCTTAAGGCCACGGTCTTGTACTGTACATTTCTCCTATGTTAAAAAAAATATTCAGATCAATTACCGTCGAAAATTGGAAAGACTAGGATAAGGATTTACTCGACTGTCCATACATTTAATTTACGGATTTTCTATATTTTAAGATTGTTAACCCGTGCTGATGAGATAGTAGGCTATAAATTCAAATCTCGTATGCAGCATACCAGCTAGTTTGCAGATTCCATGGCCAACAGACGAATATATAGTACTGTCACAATCGAATGTTTTTTTTTATTTTTAACACTTTTTTAAACTAATTTTAAATCTAGCACTGTTTTTTTTAAAACTAACACTTTTGCCCGCGCCTATTTCCCTGCCGCGGCAAAACACCTGTGCCGTGCTATGCATGGTGGTGCGGCGAGAGGGATGACGTGGCGACGACCGGGGCGCTGACCGGTGACGTGGCAGGGTCTGCCGCGCCACCGATCTTGGCGCGGCAGTCCCAGGTAAATATCGCCCGCGAGCCACCCTCCCTCTGTCTGCCTTAACGCGGTGGACGACTTCTACGCCGCGCCCTCCCGCCACTCCCAAGTGCTATCGGCGCCCGGCCCTCCGTTGCCGCCTCCCTCCCTCCCTTCCAATCCATTCCCTGGCCGCCTCCCTCCCTCCTCGACCTCGTTCAAGGTAATGACGTACTTTTTATTTTCGTTTGAATGGTGGATTGAAATATTATGAGTGGGAGTTAAGGTTAAAAGGAAAATTATGTTTGGGAACTATGGGCTATGGTTTGGAGTAAGATATTAGTTTGATTTTGTCAGTGTTAAGGTTAATTATTTAGTTAGAAGTATGTTTACCATGTATATTTTTGTTGCTACAAGTGTTGGTTATATTATTTGAGTTGCAATGCAAATGATAATATTTTACATTATTTTGCGTTGTTTTGATTGATGTTTAATTTGAACCGTTTTATTAGATGGTAGACATGTTTCGGGAGCAATTGTGGCGAAAACGGGGTCGTCCTAGAGAATTGTACCCCGACGAGTCTAGCAAAGATGCCCCCGTCCCTCCTGACCTCCATGTCCCTAACTGTGACTGTGGTCGTCCGGCCGATGTGTTTTAATCAAGGCATCCAGACACAGTGGCTCGTTGCTTCTACACATGCAGTCGTTTTAATGTAAGTAATTGTTTCCGTATATTTTTTTTTCTTCGTTTGTATTACTAGGTTACTAATATTTATTTAGAATTTTGTTGTATAGGCCCATAAGAGGTGCTTTTTCTTTCAGTGGATCGACGGTGCAGACAAGTTTGACCCCAAGTACCTCCTTTTCGATGATTGGTGGAGAGGGCGACATCCACGAGAGCACTTCGAGCGGTGGGTTCCACCTCCCATAACCCCCCTCTAATGATGGCAAAGGAGAAGCACTTAGCCGCAGTTAGACGACTCGAGGAACCTCCTCTGTGCGATTGCGGAGATCAAGCTGTGATAAACCCTGAGAATACGTTGGAGTTTGTATGTCCAAATAAGCATGAAGTAAGTGCAAAGTGTATGTGTTGAAATGTTGAGCTATATGTGTTCAAGTACTAATGTCAGCTTATTTAGGTGTTTTCAATAGCGAAGTGCCGTTTCAAAGAGTGGTTGTATGGTGCTAAGAACCAATGGCCGGAAGAACCGCCAAAGGTTAAGAAAAAGAAGAAACAAAGGGTAATTTATAAAGCACCTCCTATCATATGCGAATGTGGTGTGAAATCCAACTATGACCTAGTCCCTTTCGGAGATTAGAATATGCCATTATTGTGGCCATATGGTTGACTATGATGAGGTTGGTTATTTTTGTGGTAAACATAAAATCGTATTTTGTTTCTTTTGCTAAGACATATATGATATAGTTTTTCGTTTGAATAGAGCACTAGGAAATGTAGGTGGGAATGTTATGATGGTCAAGCTAAGTTCTTGGATGAACTGAAGGAGAGGCAAGTAATTGCATGGAAGAGGGGATATGAACCTGACTACGTCAACCTATTCGTTAAACATCGTAAAGACAAGATGCGTGAGTTTGCTAGACAGCGCGGTATTTGTAACCTGATCTATGTTGAGCTTGACAAATAGGGATTGGAGAGGCAGAGGGTGTTAGAGGAGGAGAGGGCAAGCAAGGAGGTAAGGGAGGAGACAAGAGTAGAGATACAGGTCTTGAACGAGCATGTTGTTGCATTATGTGCCAGTGAGTGCTTGAAAGCCTTTTTTTCGTTGCCTGATTTTAATATAATATAATCGCGTTACTAACTGATTGCATTTTATACATAAAGGGATTAGATGCAGCGAGGACCATGACGGAGAGGTAGCTCATGCAAGGTATGAGGAAAAGAAGTTAGATGAGCACAGAATGCGAGCTGGTCGCACCGTTTAATCATTGATTATGTTGTCTGATGAGGGGGGCAAGGATGAGGACGACACTGCCAGACTGAGCGAGCTCATTGCTCTAGCAGAGGCGGGCTTGTTGGCAGAGCAGGCTGAGGACGACACTGGCAGACTGAGCGAGCTCATCGTTCTAGTAGAGGCGGGCTTGCAGGCGGAGGAGGCTGAGGACGACACTGGCAGACTGAGCGAGCTCATCGCTCTAGCAGACGCGGGCTTGCAGGTGGAGGAGGATGACAACGCATTCTTCACTCAAGCCACAGAGGTCGCAGATGAAGCGGAGGTCGCTTACTACAGGCGACACGCAGGTCAGAGCAATGCAGGTGAGCCTAGCCACATGAACGAGGAGGAAGAGAACGCGTTCTTGTCTCATGCCGCAGATGAAACGGATGCCGCTTATTACAGGCGAAAGGCAAATCAGGGCAATGCAGGCGACCCTAGCCACAGCAATAGGGTTGTGGTAGAGGATTGGTACTCGGACGACGAGTTGCTTACTTAGTATGTTTCTGACTGAGGGTTTTTGATTGCACCGTCAGTTAGTTCCATGCTTTATTAATGATCAATGTAGCTATGTACTAGAACTTTCATTGTGTTGTCTTATTTTCTATTTGAACTATTGATGTATTGTACCCATGTATCATGTACTCGGATTATCCATGGTCGATTTTAAGTGATCCCATCCGTTTATCACCCTCCGACCCATCCGTTTGTCGCTCTTCGATGCATCCAAGTTTTTTTAATAATAGCGAATGCGTTGAGAATTTCTAAAATGAACAAAATCGAGTGAAATTATTTCGAATACGGTTGGCTGGCATATATATCTTGTATGTTTCCCATGTATTTTAAAATAGTAGCGTGTAATTTATGTTATTAGCATCAGATCAATGTAAAATAACAATAATGTTATCACTTTACTCCAGCGTTCCTTTTTCATGAGTCACGTTTGGCACGCAACCCTAAGCCCAGATTCTACCATGCCATAGCTCACGACGCGGCACTGACACGCCAAGGCCCATGGCGCGGCAGGACCTGGACGCAGACATAAGCCGACCAGCCTCAATTACAATTGAATGGGAGCTGCTATCGGTGCTGTAAACAACTACAAGTGCTGCCGCGACGCATTGAAACGAATATGAAGCAAATAAATTGAGTTCGTGCATAAGTTGACAAGTTGCCACATAACATTTTCATTAGTTCATGAGTCTGCAAGTTTTGGACGACAATATTTGTTCGACATAAGTTCAACATAACCAACTAAGTCCCAGGAGTGTAAGGATCCCTCGGACGCCTCTGTCTCTTGGGATTTTTAGGCAACACAGCGGGAGTGAAGCCAACGTCGGTGTGGGGCCTCAAAGGAGGCAAGGACACCTCTACGTCGGTGTCAGTCAAGAAGTGTGCTCAGTGCGGGTCGTCGTACTCCACCTCAAGATGGGGGTACAACTGGTACTGCGTGGGAGGGGCCATCCTGTTACAAATTGATAAACAAAGGGTTAGAGTATTCAAATTAACAATATTCAAATTAACATTATGTAGCATTGCAAAATTTGAACTACTTGTTATGCAATACGAACACAATATGAAAGCACATGTATATATTCAAAGTAACATTAACAGACATATTAAACAACTTCACTAGGAAAATAAGCAACTTCTATGTATGGACCTGCTGCCCTCGTCTTCTATGCCTGCTAGCCTTGTGACCAGGGTCTTTGCAAATGGAGCAAAGATTCCTGCCACGGGTCTCGTTGAAGTCTCCCCCTCCGTACATGTCTTCATCGTACCCTCTCATAGCGTCCATGTCCCCCTTGAGTTGATTCTTCTTCCTCCTACCCTTCCCTACCTTCATTAGATCCAGATGTGGCACGTAGTCATAACCATTATAAGGTGGCCACTGTGTCGGGTCAAGGTATGGTTTGAAGCTCATCTCCCAAATACTAACGGTGTTCGAACGGAGATACAAGGGTGACATATATGACAGATCCTCATAGTTATACCCACAAACCCTTTAGGCCGTGATCATATGAGAGCAAGGGGCATGCATGATCTGAGGGACATTGCAACTGCACTCTGCCTTTTCAAGATCAACTCGGTAGTTTCGTCCACCATAACATTCGCCGCCCAAGCTTGTGCCACCCTTGCCCCGTACATTAAAGATATGGCGGCGGGGTTCATACGGCTCGGCGGTGTGTTGCTTGGCCAATTCCTCGGCCTCCTTCAAATGTTCTACTCCGACCTTTCCAAAATGCCCTTGCTCAGCTATATTCCTCTGCGCAAGTTCCCACCTCTTGACAAAATATTCGTTGCACTTATGAAAAGAGAACTCAACAATTCCAGACACAGGCAACGATCGAACTCCGGTGAATACACGGTTGAAGGACTCTGAGGAGTTAGTGGTCATGATGCCATACCTGGAACCCCCTCTCGTCATATGCTAACGCCCACTGAGCCTTCTATTCCATTTGCGCCTCTAACCAGGCCTTTCCTGCTTTATTTAGCATCTTGTCTAGTTCTCTTTTTATCTCCTTGAACTGGTGCTCTATACGTACAAAACATAGAGCCTTTACCTTGTCACATACCTCCTGCTTCCTCTGACGCCACCAGAAATTAGCGGCAAACTGTCTCATGCACCATCTATGCACTAGAGGCGGGAACCCATCTATATGTTCAGCTGCAGCATTAAGAAGCCCTGGGTGACGATTCAAGATCAAACATATAGTGCGAGATGGGCCAAGCACTTGTACACGTAGAAGCCACATGAACCATGACCACGATTCACTATTCTCCCCCTCTGCCAAAGCAAATGCCATGGGTACTATCTGGTCCTCAGGATCAACAACAGCAACCATCATCAAGGTGCCCCTGTACTTTCCTGTCAAGAAAGTGCCATCAATAAGTACGAGTGGCCGACAAAACTAGAATGCATGTTCCGTTTGTGCGAACGACCAGAACACACGATAGAGGACATACATCAACGGGTCCCGAAAACACATCCCACCAGTGTCCACAAACCATTTCAAGCCAGGGTTGTAGTAATGCATTGGACATAACATGCGGGGCACCCTGTTGTATGCTTCCTCCCAACTACTCCATCGAATCATCAGGGCAATTTGCTTAGCACGCCAAGCCTTTCCGTACTTCACATCATACTTAATGAATCCAGATATGGACTGTTGTAAAGAAGACACCGAAATGTCGTTATTGTCATCAATGAGCACCAATATACGATAGGCAAGGTAACGTGCATTGAGCTGCTGATGATTTCCTTCCCCCTATTTGTTAGGCAAGTGTGGGATTCGACAACTTTACTTATCCTCCACTTGCCATCACTCTGTCTCTTTCATGCATTTAACCTCCACATACATCCGTTTTTGCATATCACGTGGTACCTCAACTCCTGGTCCAAATGAGTGATGCTGTATGGCCTATGGTGATACACAATATAGTCCTAAAGGAAGAGCTTCATCTCTGACATTGTATTGAATATCATCCGTTTCTTAAGGGTTTCTTTCTCATGGTCATACAATGATTTCCTACACATCTGGAGACCGGTGTCACAAACTGCCATATCCGTCTTGCTGACATCCCTATAGTTCAGAACACCCCTGAAAGGTACGTTCATCGATCTTAGTTGCTCAAGCTCAGTCGCTGTGTAAGGTGGTGGTGGAACATACTGTTACGCTTCGCCAATTCTGCCCCATGAATCATAGGGGGTATCATTTGCTAGTAAATCTGTGGCTAGTCTACCATGAGCCTAGATAGCATGCAAAACCTCAGTTGGTACTGGTAATGGCATACCATGAATAGGTACTGGCATGGCATGAACCGGTGTGGGCATAGCATGTCTATGTCCCTGGTCACCATCTAAATCGTCCAAATCACTGCTAACTACATCACTGATCCTGTCCTTCTCCTCCTGCTCCTCCTCTTCCAGTTCGAACTCGTTCACATCGAAATCATTGCTTATACAACCTACTTGACTTGAATGAAACTGCTCTTGCGTCAACTGATCGTCCAAATCCATGTTACTCTGAGTTGCTTCCCCTTCGATCCCCAATTCTTGCTCATTGCCTCCAACACCGTCAATGGACGGCCCGTCCAGGACACCCTGCATCATGTACCCATTCTCCACCACCACCTCAACCATGGGCACATTAGAACCTTGGAGCACCCTATTGTAGCGGGGCCAGTGAGCAGGGTCGCACAAGGGCATGAGGACATAGTGTGCCCTAGTCTTCCCAGTATCAAACCTCCCCTTCAGTGTGAAATCACCGCCAAACTTTGCATTCAAACGGACACAAAGGTCGTTGAAGCTACGAGGTTCATCAAACCATTCCAATTCTTCTTCCATATCCTCAAACATACCATCTTCTCTCCTAACATTTCCTCCGTAAAAAACTCTAACACAACAATCCATCTACAAAATCATTTCAAGAAACTTCATCAAATCGTCGAAATCGTCGTACGTAATGTCCATAGTAATATAATACATATTCTAACTATAACTATACTAACTAATCTAATATTAACATCTATGCAAGGCTAACTACAACAACTAATTATACTAAATACAATGTATAACTAGACTCAATAACTGTACTAACTAAACTAACTAACTTTATTATCTATACTAACTTACTATATTGCCTATACTAACTAAACGGCTATTCTAGCAACGGCTAGAATAGTAGGGCAGTGGATAAGTGAACGCGTACGTCCTCGTTCAACTGCGGAATCGGGAAGCATGCAGTATCCTTGTACTGTTGAACGAGCCGCCACGGCTTCTTCGCCCAACGGATAATAACAATCTAATGTTATGAACCAGGAAGGATTTGGAGAAGGGCGGAAGGGAAATCTCAGGGAAGAAGAAGAACAGAGGGGTATAGTGGGGAGAGACGAACTCTGTTGTCTAGTCAAATAGCAGGGGTATACCAGGCTAGCTAGCTAGCAGCGCTTCCAAGCATCGGTAGCCCAAGCACTTCCAACAATACAAGCTCGCTTTCTCCCCTCATATGGCTCCTGCCACCCCAGGCAATGTGTAATTCCAGTGGGGTCTTTCCTTTTTGCTTATTTTTTTAGGTCTTTGCAACTTTTCTAGGAAGCTCCGGTGTTTTTTATGAGTTGGTTTCCTGTTGATTTGTTTTTCCCCCGTCTAATCTTTGTGTTTTTCTTAGTGGTTTGGAGTCGGTAGAGGTGTTTTTAGCAAGTTGCGGGAGCTTCCCTCCCTGTCTTCCTGTTTCTCTCCTCCTAATCATATTTTCACGGCAAAAGTCTTGCCGCCTTTTCAAAAAGAAAAAAAAAAGTATCAGTAGCACATCCTGGCACGGACGGCCTCCTCCACCTCCTCCTTTGTACACAAAAAAAACATAGGAACAAAAAAGTGTCCGGTTAGGATGCTGGGAGTGTTTTGAAGGCATTGTATATGCTCTTGAAAATCAATAAACCTTTATTTATCCAAAAAAACATAGGAGCAATAATCCATGCCTCTGGAAACCAGAGACAGCTAGCAGGGCTGAATATATTCAGAAGCACACCCTACAGCTTACTTGTGGTTGTGGAAGGTCCTCTTATTATACATAGATGGCGCTTCGATGAATTATTTATGTGGCGCGCAGAATCTCATCATTAACCGGTTTGCTTGTGACGACATTTATGTCAGTTTGGTCTTACTTGGTGCATGCGCAATCAATACCATGGTTGGTGCTACGTAGTAGTACAATAAAATCTAGCTCGATCAATCACGCCAATATGTTGTACAGCTACGTGCCGCCAACCATGCATGCATACAAACATTGTCGTCGAGGACAGGCAGCTATTGAATGAAGCCACAACGGTCACCGTCGGAGCATGGCAACTAACGAGGCTCGCTCACTTCGATCTGACAGTCGGCATGCATGGTTTATGAACAACCTAAGCACCAGAAACATAACGCCAAAGCTCTTCACGTGCAGCACGCAGGAAGGAATTAAAAATGAGATGACGGTGCGGCAACTGGTCAATGATGCTTACTTGTCTTACTTCTGCAGCTATATAACTTCGTTAATTGGGATGGCTACAGTCGTTGCAGACCACATAGTGTGGAAGAGTTAGTTCTTGTACTTTTTACATTTCTCCTTGTTTCTTAATTGAAATGCAGAACTCCTGCCATTTATGTTAAAAAAATATTCAGATCAATTCCCGTCGAAAATTGGAAAGACAGGGACAAGGATTTACTCGACTATCCATACATTTACGGATTTTCAATATTTTAAGATTGGTAGCCCGTGCTGATGAGATAGTTGGCTATAAATTCAAATCTCGTATGCAGCATACTAGCTAGTTTGCAGATTCTATGGCCAACAGACGAATATATAGTACTGTCACAATCAACACATGAGCTCGATCCAGAATCAGAAGATTAAGATGGACCCAGCATTTTACTGCAGCAAACAGCATCTTTCAGACACATATGTACCGGCATGGCCAGGAGCAGGAGATTACCGGCGGTCTTGATCAGAAGAAGGCGTCAAGGGATAAAATAAAATAAAATATGAGGTCATCCAGAGCTAATAACTGGCTTGCACTGTGGGATAAGGCACAAGCAAATTAAAAACCGCAGACATGCATGCATAAACAACCACACGCGACAACACATAATTAAATAAGAGTTTCTGATCCCTCTTTTTTTTTCCATTCAGCACTGGCCATGGTAGTGTCACTGTCCATGGCCCATGGCCATCGCCATCGGGGGTCCTCCTCGCAGCACCGCTGCTGGTGGTTGGTGGTAGTGCGGCAGCCGCCCGTCGCCGCCTCATTATTACCACCCCTCAATGCTGTACACCGGCACGCCGTAGTACAACGACGGCGCCTTAGCCTTGGCCGGCGCGGGCACGACGACCTGCGCTGCTGGCGGCTGCGTGGTCTGCTTGCCGCAGCTGCAGCCGCAGCAGCAGGTGCAGGGGGCCGGCTGGGTCCTGGCCTTGGGGCGCTCCAACATCTTCTCCAGCAGCGGGCGGAGGTTGACCGCGGGCGCCGCAGCCGTCTTTCTTCCGTGCTCCTCCTTTTCAATGCCTCCGTCCTTCTTCTCCTCGGGCGCTTTGACGTCTATACCCTTGATGATCCAGCCAGCCTCCCAGCAGAGCTTCCGACGGACCTTCTCGGCGTCGAACGGGCCAGAGATGGTCACGAGATTCCTCTTTTCATCAAAGGAGATAGTATTGATGTTCATCTTGTCTGCGCAACCCAGTCAATCACAATCAACAATGATCATCACCACAGATCGAACTGCTAAACAGTTGTAAAAGCGACTGATAGGTAATTAAGCCCAACAAGTGGAGAGGTGATTGGTGCTCATGCAGCCATGTGATGGCAGATTGGCATTATCAGACTGCAGATAGAGGCGTTTGCATTGGTGAATGACTGAATATATGGTGACGAGGGTTATACTACAATACTGTACCTTTGATCCTGTGGAGGACCCTTCTGATCTTCTTGTTGCATATCTCGCATTCAAGGTCAACCTTGACGACCATGGTGATCTGCGATGTGATACAAGGATTAAATAGATGGTTGTAAACGCAGTGCTATTGGAAGTAAGCTAGGCCATGGGGGAAGTGATAACAAAAGAAGAAGAAGAAGAAATCCCTAGGGCTGCACGTGTTCCTTATCTTACGGCGGTGGTAGTAACAGGACCGAACATTTCTTTTCTTCCGAGCAGAGAGAAATCAACACGACCCATCACGCAAGCAAATTAAAACTGCAAGACTAACAGCAAAGGACAGGACACAAAACGAGCAAGCATCAGGATTCATATCATTGGGTGGTGGGTGCTCTCCTCTTGCCTCCTTGTCCGCCATGCGGGTCGATCGGATACGCCCGAAGCTCCGTCACCTTGCCTGTGGTGCCTGCCGAGAGAGAGGAGAATTTCTGTGACGGAGGAGGAGGAGGAGGTGGTGCGGCGGCGTCTTAAAACCAAGCTGAGGTCGCGCACGCAGAGGCGATTCGTCTTGGGGCACCACCAATCGACGACGCGTGGGCCACCCCAGGCCTTGTCGGCCCCTTTGTCCTTACTTTTGGCCTGCACTGCACATTTCAGACTTCTCCGATCCCGACAAAATGCTGAAGAGAAATGACATGCATGGAAACGACAAAATGTAGGGCCTTGTTTAGATTATAAGTTTTTTCACTTTCTCTATCACATTAAATCTTTGACACGTGCATAGAGTATTAAATGTAGATAAAAAAATAACTAATTACACAGTTTGATTATAAATTACGAGACGAATCTTTTGAGCCTAATTAGGCCATGATTGGATAATAATTATCAAATACAAACGAAAGTGCTACAGTGCCAAATACTGATTCCTAACCCCAATCTAAATGAGGCCTATAAAAGAAAAGCAGAGAAAGTCTCGAGCACAAGTATACTTCATTGGCTTCTCGATCGAGTTTTGTGCGTGACAGCTTGCTTGATTGATTGTCTCCAGCAAACAACAAGCAGAGAGATTGATAGTCTACTTACTCTCACCGTACCCTTTCTATCCTATTACTATGCGCCTGTTGGTAGCAGGCTAGGGGTCACCACGGATTAGGCCAACAACCAGAGAGTAAGTAGATAAACAATCCTGTAGCCTTTTGCCATTTGTCAATGCGGTACCGCCTTTTGTTTTCAATCTGGAACGACGCAGGGAAAAAGCGCATCATCTATTTCCTTCCAAACTGCAAGTGCTGCTGCACAACTCATTCGCCATTTGATCGTCGCGTACTGATGCTCTCCCAAAATAAAATGCTGCAACAGAACCATGCCATGGCGTGTAGCTTGCGTTGCCCTGGCATGAAAGAATCTTAGGCCTGTGTGGATCCAACTAATGTTCAGCCCCTGGCTATATATCCAACTAAATATTAGCTGCCCACTTTTTAACCATGTGGTGTTGTACCCAGTGACTGAAAATTAGTCAAGCAAGATGAAAAATACCACCCTAAATGCATATATAAATACCCATATGTGTCATTATAAAAAAAACCCCAATTTGTATCTAAATTACCACCCTGTCACTATGAAAAAAACTACAACTTACTTCTATATCTTACTATTACTAATTGGTGACACAAATGGAGCCTCCACGTTAATTCTCATATTAATCAGAAACATCTAGCCATTAAATCTATAGGCTCTCACAATATGTAATCATTAGATCTAAAAAATTATCCACCTCTACCATTATTATAGATAAAAAAGAAAAAAATCCATTTGTATTACTAATTGGAGGCCCCAACGGAGCCTCCACTTTAACTCTCACCAGATGCGATAGAAAAAGGTTAAATGTTATAAATTCTCATATTAATCAGAAACATCTAGCCATGAAATCTATAGGCCCTCACAATCTATAACCATTAGATCTATTTTATTTTCAAGAAAATTACCCACCTCTGCCCTTATTAGAGATAAAAAAGAGCTTGCATGCATGCTCTGCTTAACTTGGCCAGAAGATACGGCAAGGCTGGAAAATCAGAGTGAGAACATGAGGAGGCCATGCATGATTCTGGAGCTGCAGGCGACCATGCTTGGAGACAGAGGACGAGGAGATCAGCGAGGGTGTCTTAACCGAGAAGAAGGCCCGAAGCTCATCCGGTTCGAGTCACCAAGGTGGAGGCAGGCGACCAAATCAAGTTCGAGCCCATCTCGGGTTTCAGGAACAGTCTGTCATAAAACTGGTCACACGGGCGCGTCCAGGCTCCGTTTTTGACGATCTACATATGGATGGAAAGCTAATTAGATAAGGAAGCCAATGCAAGTGGTCTCACGTCAAAAGCCCTTTCGGAATCAACAGGGATCGTCGAAACAAGTCAGCGTCCAGAATCTGCCAGGATGCTGCGACACCGTCTTTTGGTCCGTTGGACCGTGTATCGTTTTAGAGCCCATTAGGGGGCACGTCCAGGGGGGTGACGTCCGGGGCTCTATAATTAGCAGCCGTCGCTCTCCTTAGAGTTTGGGGTTTTGTTTAGTGCTTGATTTCCTCGTGAAACAGACGTCATTTTGCTGCAATTGTGCCGCCAAGGCTCCATGCTGTGAACCAGGGCCCCGGTTCTTGATCTTGTTCGCCTGTGGGGATTAGTCCTTTCGAATAAAGACTTGAACTCCTTCTCGTTATCATGAGCCTCATATTTATTTGCAATTTCAGATTGCGTTCATCCCGTTCTTGCTTGTGTTCTTGATTCGCTTGCAGAAAAGCCTTATCGGCGAGGTCAATCGCGTTCGCGTGGTTGATAACCAACAGAGCAGTGGTGTAACGGTTGTGAGGGTCCGAATCAGTCTTGGTTTGAAGCCTAGATCTTGAACATCGAGTCTCCACCAATCAACACTATCGTACCTATCGGAAGATCGGGCCTTATCTACATCAAGTGGTATCAGAGACCTAGTTGCCCGTTAGGTATATCTTTGTGTTTTTCTCTTTAGATTAAATCTGTTTATCATTACCTACAGTCCACAAAAAGCAAAAAAAATATATACACTGCCACATATTCCATATTCTACGGCCCCTTTGTGCCTTGCAATATTTTTAATTTTAGTTTGTTTGTTGAACGGTTGTCCCTCACATGTCATTGTGTTCGTTAGTTAATTAGTCTTGGTCTAGTGTCCGTCTTCTTTGCTGGCTGAACAAAAAAATATATATCTTAGTGATAAAGTTGGTTTGGCTAATAGATTGGTTTGGTGTTTATTTTGGTCGATCAGATTTACTACACGTCTGATTTACCATCTACATAAGCTGCTGCTGTGTGCGTAAGAATTCAGGACTCCAAATGTCCTGTGGTTGTTCTTGGTACTAAATCCAAAAAAAAGGAAGGTTTGTTGTCCTTTAGAACACGTCAGAGTAATAATCAACAAGGTGTTTCGTTTGTGGAGTTGCTTTGCTCACGTGTCCAGCCGTGCATATTGGTGCACAAGCCTATGCAGTTTTGATCGATTCATATGGTGGTTACATATTAGAGTCATTTGCGGCACATTGTGTTAAAAAAACAAAGAAACGCAAAAGGCAAAGAGGTGCAAAAAAAAGCAGCACCAAAAGAAAAAGTAAAGGAAAAAAGAAGGTGAAAAAATTTCAAAGTGCTTGCATTCTGCTTAGTCCTTGTCTTTGAGATATTGTTGCTTGTTTGAACTAGGTCCAGTGATTTAGTCTAGGCCAAATGACATAGACTAGCTTGGGACTACTTTTCAATCTTGTAATTTCTGAATTAAATTATTGCTATTCCTTGCTACTATATTGTGCCTGTCCAGGCTTCATTTTCTTCTAACCAAGTACAGGTTCGCTTTGCAACTGTTACACTCAAGCTACAACGGTATTACAGTCACCGACTGATTGCACCGCCTGTTGCTGTGGTAAGAACACTTGTAAGACCGTGGTAAGACACTTGAGAGTGTGTGACTTTACTCCTTGACCACATCCTATAGTAGCTGATAGAAAAATACATACTTGTGTATTTTCTTGTTTGATGCTAACAATGATAGGTTACAACACGTACCGATATGAGACATTAATGATGCATGAGCCATGCACTATTGCTGCTACACCTCCTCCCGCAGGTCAATCTATTCTTTCTTCCCCGCCTACTTATGATGGTATTGGTGCTGATGAGTACATTGAGTGAAAAACTAAAATGGATAATATTTTTGCACAAAGTTATATGTACGAACGGAGGAAAATTAAAAATACAACTAGTGTTTTGAGACAATCTGCATCGACTTGGTGGGAGTCTTTAAGTTTTTCAGATAAACCTCACACATGGAATGATATGAAAGATCTTGTGAGAGAAAATTTTGTTAATCCATCTCTTGTAATTAATTCAAATGATGAGGTGCATCAACTATATCAATCTCTTGTTATTTCTCCTGCTATGCCTAACCTTTTGCAGGACAATATACAAAAGAGCGAGGATAACGTGGCAAGCATAAGTTGCTCGCAGCCTCATGTGAAAATTTAAAACCATCAACTATTACTCCTGCTAAACATGAGAGCAAAGGTAATGCCCATGATGCTAAACTCATGGAAGGTGAGAGTTCTCTTGATGTGCTGAATTTTTCCACCAATCATGCTATATGTGTGCTGAAATCGAACACTTGTGCTGAAAATAGACTTGTTTATTTATAATGCTAGTGAAGTTGATGAGCTGAAATTGTTGTCTTCTTTAAATACTTTGGGTTATATTGAATTTGATGTTCCGTGTAATCTTAGTTCTTTAGATGAGAAACATTATGCATATGCTGATTTGCCATGGTTCTCTAGGCATACATATCATGTTTTTGACAAATATAACAACCAAGGACAATATTTGATACAACAAGTTTACATTTGTACAAATCTGAATTCTCCTTTTGTTGTGAAAAGTAATGATCAACCAGAGGACAGTAAAATCAATAATGTTCTTATGCCATATTCCTCTAGTTTTGCTTTTCGAGCACAACTAGAAACCAAAGAAAGGAAGCATATATTTCTTATTAGTACTAATCTTTTGCAGTATAGTATTGCCAAAGATCGTGCATATTTCAATCGAGCAGACTACATGTCTGTAGGACAAGACAAGCTACAAACCTGGACATGTGGTCATATTCTTTCTCACAACATTGTCCATTCCCATTATTTTAGAAACCTCGTTTGTCCTCATGTTGTGCAGGGTCGACTTCAAGCAAAATCGACGCCGAGGACAGTTTTTCATCAAGAAAGGGAGGATGATAAGGACATGAGCTCCATGCATACGACCATGCTTGGAGATAGAGGACGAGAAGATCAGCGAGGGTGTCCTAACCGAAAAGGAGGCCCAAAGCCTAAAGCTCATCCGGTTCGAGTCACCAAGGTGGAGG